GGTCAGTTTCAGCAGCGGCTGAATCTGGATGCCAGTTCCGACTTACATACAGATTCAACTTAAGAACAAACCTACAGTCCCTATCTTGTACGTAACCCGGGGACTGCCTGTACTGCAATAATATGATTTCCTTGTCAAAGATGATGCATTCTTAGCAGAAGATTAACTCATCATTTAGGCATTATTTCTAGCTACAGTGATGCATCTTCAGAGCAGAGTATGTATTGTTCAAATGAGTCCTCTTTATTGGGATATATTTCTTTTCTTCATAACAACCAGATGAATTTTAAAGGATTATCATAATATTTTTGAGTTGTTACATTTGCATCTACTGTATGTAGTATGGGCATAAAATGCATGTAATATAAAGAGAGAGCTGGCATTTATTCATTCCCAGGAGAGAGTGAACAGGTTGAGGTGCACATAAGAACACAGCTGTAATTCACAGCTTACAAACCTAAAAGCACAAAATTAGGCACCTGAACTTCATAGGAATTGTTCACTCAGCACCTTGGAGAATGGGGGGCTATTTACATAAGCATATGACTCCTCCTTAAGCATCTAATTTCAGGGACCAAACTTTGAATTCAGATTGCAATATATTAGCTCTTGCTCCAAATGGTATTGAGTTAATCTCTTCTCACTGCATGTAGTTAATGCACAGTCCATTAAAATTCCTCATGTCAGTAATACAGCTAAGAGTGGAACTTAGATCATTGTGGCACTTGTTGCTCAACATGTCATGCAACTGAAACTCCTTGTATTTGTTTCATAGGTGAATTTGAAGAACGGAGTCCCTCCTGACAGCAATAATGAGACCTGTACAGCAGGAGCTGGCTCTTTGTTGGTGGAGTTTGGCATTCTTAGCCGGTTGCTTGGGGATTCCACGTTTGAATGGGTGGCACGACGAGCTGTTAAAGCACTCTGGAGTCTTAGGAGCAATGACACTGGACTACTAGGTAGTCAATGCTCCCATGTGCTTACCAGATGTTAGTCACTTCATTCAGACACATTGTATTAACCATCTTGTTTTCTACCCTTCTGTTTTTAGATACTCAGTTTCCTACAGAGTAGTGCTTCACAGATTTCAATATATGAAGGGCACCACACATCTTCTGTGTTGTTGTCTATATATGTACATGTGTTACCTGTCTGATGTTTTGTGGATGTACAGGGAAATTGTCAGAGAGAGATTTAAGACAAACTTAGTGGCTGACTTTTTTCCCCACAAAAAACCACATAAATAAGAGATTTCTGACTATGGCACAAACCTGAAGTTCCTACATATCTAGTCTTGCCATAAATTAAAATGGCACGTGATTAAATGCTGCAGGATAGGACCTTTTAGTCTTTGAATAACTGCATTGGAGTATTATGCTTAATAATTAGTTCCTCAAGTTAACAAACATTAACTTTTTTGACAATACTGTTTTATTAAAGTTACTTTGTAATTTGAACATGTCATTCAAGAATTGGAACTTCAATAGTGAGTTGACTCCAGTTGCTTCAACTAAAATATGCATTAGGAAATACCTTACAAATAAATCTTTGTCTATTTATTTCTGAAGGAAATGTGGTGAATATTCAAACTGGCCATTGGGTTGGAAAGCAAAGTGGCTTAGGAGCGGGTTTGGATTCATTCTATGAGTATCTGTTGAAGTCTTACATCCTTTTTGGAGAAAAAGATGATCTAGAGATGTTTAATGGTGTATATCGAAGTATTCAGAACTACTTAAGACGAGGGTATGTTTTCCATAGGTATAACTTTCTTAAACTTACAAATGCTATAGTGCCGTTCTCTCAAAGACAGTTTTTCCTAGATGGAATCATTTGACCCCTGTCATTTAAAATTTGTCTGACATTTGCACCAATAGTACTCTTATAAAGATCAGTTGATTTATAATGGTAAATCACTTCACATTTAAGCCAGTGCGTACTTAGAGATAATTGGAAAGGGAAGGCAGAGTTGTGGTGTGGGTGGCGTGTATATGTCTCACTGATCATTTAGGCCCCAGTTTTGCCCTTTTATCAGTAATAATACTTCCATTGAGGTCCAAGCATGGGCTCAGACCCTGAATTGATATAGCTAGTGATTATTAGTGATTAGGAAAACTGGTTTAATGAGGTCTAATAACATAGGCTCAAAATCTAGCACCTCTACACCTGTAAAATTGACTTTCTGTGGTAGTTGTAAGAATTTAGCATTAATGTGTCTTGCGCATTCCTGAAAATGAAGCATTCCTGTCGTGTAATGGTTACTTCGCAGACGAGAAGCTTGTAATGAAGGTGAGGGAGACCCTCCTCTGTATGTTAACGTAAACATGTTCAGTGGGCAGCTGATGAACACCTGGATTGACTCTCTGCAAGCCTTTTTTCCTGGACTACAGGTAATCACAGTTTTCGGTTTCCTAGAGTCTAAGTAGTGCAATGATTAGATTTATTCGAGATATATTTTTAATGCTAGTTCTAGGCACAAGTGAGGGTCTGAACAGATTCTGGAGTCTCCTGAGAAGCTTGGTTTGCATCTTACTAGACTTAAATTCAGGTGTGGCAATAATTTTGGATGACGGGAGGCACACCAAGATTTTGGGAAGTGGTCAAGAGCCGCACTCTTCCATGATCTTAATGGAGGAGGTGCGAGGTCTGGAACAGAGGTTGAGTGCAGAAGGGAACTTCGGGCACGGGCTGGATCTGGTGGCATGGCAGGCTGGATCCAGTCCGTTGGTCCTATTTTGCCAAGGTCTGCTTAAACTAGCCCCATATTTTCAAGAATTTATTCTGATCCTAATCCAGTGGTCGCCAACCTTTTTAAGCATCATGACGACATTTTTTTTTTAAATTGAAGTGAGAGATCCTGAATTGCAAACTCAAACAGCCTGGCCCTGCCTTCTTCCCACCCCTTCTCCAAGGACCCACCCCTGCTCACTCCATCCTCTCTCCCTCCCCTTACTCAGTTTTATCATGCTGGGGTGTGGTGGAGAGGGATGCAGACTCTGATCTTGGGTTAAAGCAGGGGTTCTCAAACTTTGTGCTACTGCGACCCCCCCCAACTTGCTCGTGACCTCCCCAGGGGGTTGGGACCCACAGTTTAAGGAAACATGGGGCTAAAGAATTTGGAATGTGGGAGGGGGTCTGAGCTGAGCATGGGGCAGAGAGTTGAGGTGCAGGAAGGGGTTCAGGGTACAGGTTCTGGAAGGGAGTTTGGGTGCAGGGGAACTCAGGGCTAGGGCTGTGGTTTGGGGTGTAGGAAAGGTTCAGGACTGGGGCAAAGGTTCAGAATGTGGGCTCCAGCCTGGCATTGCTTAGCAGATGTGGCTTCTGAGTGGTGGTGCAGGGGTTTAAGGCAGGCTCACCCCATTCCCAAAAGCAGCCAGTAAACTCTCTCCATTCTTGTCCTCCACCACTCTGTGGAGATGGGGTACAGGGCTTGGGGGGAGGGAGCACCCTGACAACAGGGCCCCCTTCTTCCTGTGCCATGCACAGCAAGCAGGAGTCTCCCGGGCATGAGGGTAGCTCCAAGGCAGAGGGCAGGAGCAGCGTGGCAGTGCTGAGGGGTAGGTTAAGTGTTAGCACTTGACAGCCTCCGGGCCAAAGCAGTCAGGATCACCTGTCAAAGGCTCCAAGATCTACCAGTAGATCCCAATCTACTGGTTGGTGATCACTGTCCTAATCCTACCATTTAGGGATCTGTGATGTGTTGGCATGAGGGAGCTCATATTGGTGTTTCTGGTATAAATGAAGTAACAGTGTGACTCTGCCTTGATTCAGGTCTCTGTCCTCTTGAGGTGCGTATTTATATCTGGGTATCCAGTGCAATGTGTGGGACGGAAAAGTGAACCACTACCTTTGCATTTTGTTGCATAATGTGAGCATGAGGTTTCTTACATGCACAAGTTTATAGCTATTAATTATTTCTAGGTTTTAATAGGAGATGTGGAAGATGCTATTTGCCTCCATGCCTTCTATTATGCCATATGGAAACGCTATGGAGCTCTTCCAGAGAGGTACAACTGGCAGTTGCAGGCTCCAGATGTCCTTTTCTATCCCCTGAGGCCAGAATTGGTGGAATCTACATATCTCCTTTACCAGGTACTTGACCTTCTTTTGAGAACATGGCTCAGACATGTTTTGGTTTCAGAATGCACCTCTGCTTTTCCTATTCTGCACATGGTCATGTTTCCAAAATCTCATGGCTGTCCATCAAAAAAAAGTTTGTATATAAAGTCTCCCTACCTGTATTCTAAATATGTAAAACTGTGTGTGCTGCTTGCTTTTGAAAAGACACCATCTCACACTCAAAATGCCTTCTTTCAGATAGTTATACATAGTAGATCCTTGAACAAATACTAGTATGGCACAGTTAATATTTTAACTTGGTGGCAGCTATTACAGGGGAAACAGGATCTGTGGAAGGGCATGTGACCACATCTTTCCTTTCACATTCACTCTGGCACAGTTCTGATCATCAGTGCAAAGGCAGCAATCACGCTTGTTTTAAAAAAAAAATTTGGTTTCTCTGATAAAAAGCCAACAAAGGAATACTGCATCTTCTGTCTTCCAGAAGATAGGTCTAACCCGACCCTTTGTAATTGTCATCTTATGAAACAGATGGGGCACTACATAGTTTGAGTGTCTGTCTTGAAAATGTGCTTCACTAAGCTTCTTTATAGCCCCAATAACCCCCCACAATAACAAATACCAGCTTGATGATATTTTAACTCTACTTTTTTATTCTTTTTTCTCCCTCTACCTAGGCCACAAAGAATCCTTTTTACCTTCATGTAGGCATGGACATTCTTCAGAGAATGGAAAAATACACAAAAGCC